CCGCCTGAGAGGTCACAGACAGAACCTATGGCATAGGGTGTATAAAATGAGAAACCACGTACGATTTGCGGGACACAAAAACTACTGTATGAAATTTTGCATTTACTGAACGAACAACCGATTGTAGCTTCTATAATTAAAATTACAGCCTCATATGACATTGTTAAAAAGATGATATAGGAACACTTACTATCTGCAGAAACAGAATCACATCCATCATATTTGTTTCACACTCCTTGGAGTATTCTCTTTGTGTGAATTACACTACGTTTCCTTATGTTATAACTGTGTTTATTTATTGTCACAATAATCACTTATGCATGCTCTTGCGTTCTCGTTTTTGAAACCTTGTGTATTTATTTTTAAGTTTCTTCAAGTATTTTACATGTCTTACATTAGCATTTCTTTATGTCCTCTACAGTTTTCTTTATTTGTAAGACTCATATATATATATATATATATATATATATATATATATATATATATATATATATATATATATATATATATTCGCTTATACACATGCTTTATGTGTAGAAACTAATTTATGCTTACTTTTTATTACTTTTTATTTTACGCTGAGCACTGTCATTTTGGTCAGTTTTGGGTTGGCAGGGGGCAGGCACCTTGTCAGGCTTTTATGCCTTTTCGCCAGCCCGCTACGTAAATTGCACCCTTCTTTCTTGCTTTTTGCCTGAAATAAACTCCTACAAATCTACTGTTTGTGGATACTGGATGGTATGTGCACGAAATACTCAATAAAATCTGGAATATTCATTGTCAGACTCGTGTCGATTTCTTGTGTAATCACCCTGAAGCGATGACTTCAATTCTGTCTTACACTACCTAAGAATGAAGGCCTGGGGTTCGCACGTGACAAATAGGTTAAAGAAAGGGCATGGATGGCGGTGAGCAGTTTATTTGTGGGGCGTGTGTAGGCGATCGTAAATGTGCACGCTCACGTCATAGAGAGAGAGAGAGAGAGAGAGATTATAAATTGAGCGAAAGGCAAGGAGGTCAATCATAATCGTGTTTGCTACCCGTGACTAGGGGGGCGTGGAAGGGGAAGAAAGATGAGAAGGAAATCGAAGAGAAATGTAGACGTGCAAAAAAAAAAAATATCAGGGGCGCTTAGCCTATTCAATATGCCACTACCACGCAATAAGCCCCGCCGTGGTGGTCTAGTGGCTAAGGTACTCCGCTGCTGACCCGCAGGTCGCGAGATCAAATCTCGGCTGTGTCGGCTGCATTTCCGATGGAGGCGGAAATGCTGTAGGCCCGTGTACTCAGATTTGGGTGCACGTTAAAGAACCCCAGGTGGTCGAAATTTCCGGAGCCCTCCACTACGGCGTCTCTCCTAATCACACGGTGGTTTTGGGACGTTAAACCCCACATATCAATCAATTACCACGCAAGAAGTTCGATAAGGCATTGACTCATTTTCTGTGCGAAGACATATTGTGTTGATTGTGAGATTGTGTTAAACACGCGACCCGCGGGTCAGCAGCCGAGTACTTTAGCCACTGGACCACCGCGGCGGGGCAAGACAGATTGTGTCGGCATTCGAGCACTGACTGCGAAGATGGGCTAACGGAGCAGCTGCGGCAGCCTGTGCGCGCTTTAGCGAGGGTAGTGGAAAAACAGAGCACACTCTAATCGTTTCATCGTGGTCGCAATGATCGCAAGCAGCACTGTCTTCCGTGCTGATTCAGAAGGAAAAAAAAAATGGCTTGGGGTCGCTCTGAGCAAGCTCTCATCAGCTGCTCAATTCACTGAGGACACCGAAAGATTGTGACATTTCACTGGCTTTAATTATTTGTTTTCAGCGCAACTAATCGTTCCGTATTTATATAGGTTTTGGTGAAAAGCTAGGCATTAATTAATTTGCGATACCACTAATGTGGCTTTCATCACTTCTTAATATGCGCATAAAGTGAAAACGGCTGCACCCTATAAAGGCAGCAAAAATAACAAGCGACCAAACAATCCCATGATACCCGAAAGTTAACATGATGCCCCTGTTTTCTTTCTCACCTTTACGTGCCAACTCAACCTTTAGGATAAACTGCGATTAATTGAATTATACCACTGCAATTCATTGACGAGGCTATAAGGCATGTTTGGGCAGTTGTTGATCGTTTTGACATACAGCCCATCAACTCACTTTCCTTAAAAAATTAATAGATTGCACTACATATTTAAGCTTCACCATCTCCGTGATAACCCCATAGCTTGCAATGACTGTAGGCCGCAATTTCGGTTTCATTTTTCGACGTGCGCACTTTGAGCGCATCTGGGCCCATACCTATGGAGCGTTGTTACTTCTTCGTACGAAGCTCTGGATTTTTCTTTTTCCGTGGGTCACTTGGGATTTGTGTATCATGGGGCATGCAATTGCCTTGTTTTAACGAAAGCGTAGGGAAAGCCTTGCAAGCCACAAACCTATAACTCATTTCGCCAAAGCAAAAAAGTTTTCTATAAAAGCGAGTGCGCCATAAAATAAATGTACTCACTACATCTACGTGAAGTTAGGTAACTACAGGCTACGGAGGATACTGTCAACAGCCATAACGATCCCACATTACCGGCGTGACATTAGTCTACACCAAACAGCCATTTAGTTTACCATACATCAGAGATCAGGTTCAACGGCCCTCGATTCGATACGAGTCTTTGAGAACATCGGCTGAATTCAGGACGATCGACGTAGAAGCCATATGAGCCCTGTCGATATAAGCTATCTGCTAGATCGCTAGTCAACGTAATCTGCCATGCTATAGCTGTGCAGCTATGAAGATCCTTCGCGCATGCTACGCCAGAACACGTGGACACACCCGAAGCTTTAGCGTTGTCATCCATCAAATTTACCTTGCCGTCGTTACGACGAGCCAGCCTCGTGCACCTGACTTTTACCGTGGGAACACACCCGACTTGCTGGAACTCTCCTCAACTGTTCTGCTACAGAATACAGTTTAGCAAGAGGCGGTAGCAATGGAATTTTTTATGGTGGAAGGGGCAGCACTGAATGAAGGTAGTGATTATTTTAGAAAAACACGTCTTTTTGTTATTTATTTCACTAAAACACATCCACCCCCCCCCCCCCACCCGCCCACACACACCCACGTAAATCACAATTTCCACATGCTGGGAGAGGGGGGGGGGGTCTTCCAGAGCATCTCTCTGGCTACTGGCATGGATGGAAACACTGACCAAAAGCGCGCGCCACTATATCACATATTCAAAATAATAAAAAAAGATTCAAGGAAGGCCGTTTCACTTGATCGACATTGCAGAATTTGGGACAAGCGCACGCGACTTATCTTCTAAGCAGTGCGTAGACCCTTCGCATTAAGAAATGAAGAGGACTGCAATTAAGGTATCGTCAACAAAAGCACACGTAAGGAACGTACGCGCGGTGACATACTCTTTCGACTCGTACAGCAAGCGGACGACGCAGAAAGAAGAGCCCACTTACGTCGCTTGTCGCAGTCGGTGTCCGTGCGCCTTTATCCGAAGCCGTTCGATCGACGAGCGAGAAAATCGGGCCACTGAACTGCGTCCTTCCTTCGCGGGCTTAACAACACCGCGATGTAGTTCGGTGCGGTGAAACGAGTGCACGGAAACGACGACGTCGCCGCGGAACGAGCGGAGAAGGAAGGCGGTGTCAACAAGCCTCCGCCGCCGCGCCCCTTTCATGTGTGCTCTCGAAAAAGCGTGCGTACTTTCTCCTTTCCGTTATACGATTACACACGTGACCGCGGGGAGAGGCAAGAAAAGGCGGCCGCGCACTGGAGAATACCGCCGGAGGCATGGAAGCCGCTTGGAACCGATCCAAATCGTGCCAGGCGAGACCGTGAATTCCGGGATCCCCAACGCCGACAAAGCCAATCTTTGAAGCCGCGATTCTGATCTGGGCGCACTGGAAGAAAGGCGCTGCGAACATCGACAGGCTAAAACCTGGCTATAGGGTGCACGCGCATCGATGCACCTTGCATGAACGGCTTAAGCATGAAAAATTAATTCGAGGGGTGCTCAGTGAAATTCTCTCGGTTCAAAGTTTGAGCTTTGCTGTCCAACCATCTGTACGGAGTGCTTGGGCGGTGATGTTTTGTGAAGCGTGGTTGGAACTTGCGTTCCCATGATCCGAAGTTGGGCCTCGTGACCACTTGGCTGTCCAGGCACACCTGCGCAGCCTATAGCATGGTCTTGTACAGTGTGGTATAGCAGGGGAGTCGGAAAGGGAAAAGAGGAGGAGGCATGAGAGGAGGAAGTAAGTAGCAAGAATGAGAAACGAGAAATAGAAAAACAGAAAAAGAGAGAAAGAATCAAAGAAAGAGAAAGCAAGCCAGGGAGAGAAAGAAGAGGACTGCAAGAAAATTAAGGGCATAGACAGACAGAAATAAACAAAGTGATAGAAATAAACAGACGAAACTCAGATAGTAAAACTGAGCGAAGAAAAAAAAAAGGAATGAGAGGAAAAAACTAAGCGGACCACCCCACTTCGCACTTCGTTCAGGCATTAGAGCACTAGTGCGAAGCTGCCTTAATTTTTTCATGAGTTATTATTTAATTGTTGCGATTACACTTCGATTACTACGGTTCATTATGTTATTTTAGACCTCGTACGTGCACCTTATACCAGGCCGACTGGTCGGGCCCCAAATACTGTGTTCACGCAATGGACGAAATCGTGATTCGTAATCAGGAGTCGCGTACTACGTCACCACACGTCACCCGTCCCCGCGTCCCTACTTCGGTCCGAGCGAAGCCATTCGTGAAACGACGGAAGCCAAAATCACAGTTCAGACTCTCGCGGATCATTGCGGAAATCTTTGTTGGTAGCACTTCGCTGTCGGGTGAATGGTGACTGCGGAGGGATCAGAATCATGACACATGTCACGTGACTTATTTGCCCACCATCGTGTTCGTTGTGTGTGTACAGTGAAAACTACAGCGCAATTTAAACAGCGAGAGCAGTTCTTAATTTGGAATTTATAGACATGGGGCTGGAACCAACCCCACTACCAAAAATTATGTGCCCCAGCTATCCCAGTTTGGGATAGAGGCGTGCTACAGCGAACCGCAGTGCTATGGTCCGCCTCGGCACGGAGCCTCGGCCTTTATGATCACCGAACAGCTCGACAAGAGGTACATGTGCGGACTCATCAGTCGGCGAACAACACCATTCGAAGAGCACCGGTATCTGGCACAAGTTTTAATTCAGTTTGGGGCGATTGCTATAGCGCCCATGAAATCTCACAATTTCTCTTACGGTATATTATTTAAAAACCTAATTAAGTCACAGGTCTATAAATTTAAACAATGGAATATTAGCATTGCAAGGAAGTTTCACAGAAGAATACGGAGGAAAAAAAGGCCGCCCACATCTTCCCACGGGGGGAACTTGAATGCGTCGCAGAGTGGTTGGGTATCTCGCGAATGTGACGTAATTGAGGATGGTTTGGCAATGATTTATTGTTATTAAATGCGAAGCATTTCTTGGCGAACTTCGGGGACTTTGGGCGTATCCATCTAGGCGCCTACGACTTTTAGGGGCGAAGCTCTTTGGAGCAGCGCCCATTTGTCCCCAGTAGCCGTTGTAGTAGTGTGTAACAACTATAACATTTTAACCTCCAAGGTGGTGCTGGTGAGAGTGTTCTTCTGTGCGTTGTTGAACAATAAAAGATAGTACTCAATGTACATGCCAATGGCTGCTAAGAGGGAATGAGAGATAGGAAAATTCGGCTTCTAGTTAACGCGCACGCTGCGAACTTTTTATTGTTCAACAACGCACAGAAGACAAGAAAGGGTTGCTCCGTTATATTCGTAGGGCGTAACCTCATAGGCTTTAGAAAGGTTTAGCGAGCGTAGGGCCGCAGTGCCACGAATACAGTGAACTAGTATATACAATGAACTCGAGGTGGTTAAAGGTGGGAAGTAGACACGAAGCGCAAGCCGTATGAAAGTGTGCGTGTGCCTCCTCTCGTTCAGTCCTTGAAATGTCCGCTGGGTTGCGGTGCAAACGATGCGAGATGGTGGTACTTGGAGCGTTGAATAGGTGGACAAACGGACACACAGACAAATGCATGGACGGACGCACCGATGGCTGCACGGACGGATGGACGCATGGAAGGACGCAGAGCGAATGCATGGACGAAAGCAGGAACGGATGCACAGATGAACGTGTGGACACACGAACAGACGCATGCACGGACGGGCGGATGGACGCATGGGCGGCCACACAGACGCACTGCATGGATGGACGGAAGCAAGAACGAATGGACGGACGGATGTTTCGCCCCACTATCCGTCATTCACTCCGTAGATATGCTGCCATTTTTTAGCTCTCCTGGCCGTTTCAATAATGGCATCAATACCAAACTTGGTAAGGCATAACATGGCTGTATGAAGAACATATTTGACTAGTCATAACATCAAAATCATGACAAGTATGTCATGAATGTCAAGATTTACATTTCATGGTCCTGCACTTCTTGCGGTGGTTTCGTTCACATGGCACGTTGCCAAAACTGGTATGGTATGACATGATTGCATGCCGAACACAAGCGACTGACCCTAACATAAAAAATAATGACATTCGTGTCATGTGACAACATGACTACATGCCACACTCACGATGCGCTCGTAGCCGTTTCGCTAGCGTCACATATATCAAATTTGGTATTAAAGTACGTGAATGGATTACGAAGGTATGTGACTGGTGCAAACTTGATAATCATGACATGCGTGTCATGTGAGAACATGACTACATACCACAGTCAAGGCGCCAATACATTTCGACGTGACGTGGTGCGCGTGCTCGTCGGACATTCATTTCGTCGCGTCACGTCGGCGTTGCCACGCCAGGCGTCGGTCTTGTCATATACTCGCAGGTGCGCGCCGCGCTGCGTTGCTTTGACGCAGGCGCATTTCAGCGCGTCCGGCATCCCTTCGTCACGTAAAGAGGGTAACGCATCAGCGCGAAATGCAGCATGTCGCATTTCGCGCCTGTTGCCGTCGGGCCGTGCTGACTGACGCTGGTCGCGCCAGTCGCGCCTGGCGTCAGACTATAAAGTGCTCGCGTTTTGCTAACGTATACTATAGCGTCGCTATGCCCAGCGTGCGCGCGCGTCAACGCTACATTGAAGTATATTGGGCCCTTCATGATGCGCTCGCGGCCGTTTTGCTAGCGTGACATATACCAAATTTGGTATTACAGTACGTTAACCCTTTATGGGACACAATGAGAAAAAACACGATCAATTCATTTTGTCTGTATAAAACTGATGGTTACTACATCACTATGTGACATATAAAATTTTAGTTTCGTCAGTGCAAAGGGGGACTCAAAAAAAATGGGACGCATATGTCCCACTGGTTGTTCAGACAACCAGAGAATGTGGGACAATATGGTCCCAGTAACCACATTCGACAGGGCTGTTGGCAATAAAAAAAATGTGGGTACTAAATTTATTCAAAATTGCACTCTTGCAAACAGCAACGTCTGGCTGTATGGGAACCTTCACTTTCCGTTATGAAAAGGCAGGAAACATGTAGCACACAACGACACGTTGCAGACTTTGCATACAAGTGCCGTCCTAATTTCCTTCGCCTTGGTAGAACACCACCTGCACCGTTTACGTCCGGTTGTCTTCACAGGGTGGTGGTCACCTTTGTGAAATCTGATTTCTCCAGGAACGCCCACCATCTTCTGTCCAGACTGACGTCCACGCTTCTTGTGCTGAAAAGCGGGAACGGCCGTCTTTTTCCTGAAGCTCTGACCGCTGATAAGCTCCCTTCCAAGGGCAAGACGAAACCACAAGTATTCGTTTGGTGTGAAGTGGCAATGCTGAATGAAAGCGTTGACTACAGCTGCATCTAAGAGGTAATAGAAGAGTCTGTACCAACCCTTTTTCGACCTACGGTCGCACATATATGCGTTACGCTTTTGGTCGAATCGGTCAACACCCCCCATGAACTTATTGTAGTCAGAGACTACTTTGGGGCATGTCACGCCCACCTTGGCTCCATTAGAAAGCGTCCGGTTCACTTCAACCACCTCAGATGGATCATGGAAGTTTGACAGCATCGTCACATTTCGGTTGTCACGCCACTGGTACGCCGTCAATTGGCCCTTTGATCGCCAAACATAGTCCCCTCTCTTCAATTTCTGGTCCACTTTGATTTCATGAGGTAAATCCTTCCTATTTGTTCTAACCGTGCCTGCTGCCATATTTTGTTTTTCTGAAAGCTCTTCCATGAGCTTGGTCGTGGTGAAGAAGTTATCAAAGTAGAGCGTACTGTCTTCGTCAACATTGTTGCAAAGAGAAAGAACGACATGTTCTCCAAGTGTACGGCCAGCCTCTCTTTCTGCAGACTTCCCTTCATATATTTGAAACTCGCAGAGGTAGCCAGTCACAGAGTCCGCTCTACACCATACCTTGTACCCGCGTTTGATTGGTTTCATGGGGGCATACTGTTTCAAAGCCGATCGTCCTTTGAAACGCACCATACTTTCGTCAATTGCCTGGTGGCCAGAAGGCTTGTACTCTTGAAGAAACTTTTTGTTCAAGGTGTCCACAAGAGGTCGTATTTTGGCCAGTCTATCAAAACCCTCTTCACCTTTACTTTTTATCTTCTCATTGTTGTAAAAGTGCAGTGAGTTCATAATGGCCTGAAACCTCTTGAATGTCATCACACTGGATATCTCCTTCACATTGAAAAAGCTGTCGCTACTCCAGTAGAGGTACAGATGGTGCGCAGGATTTACGCTCATCAAAATAAGAATGCCCAAATAGGCTTTCAGTTCACCTTTTGTTAGATCGTGCCACCCTCTTCGAGCCTCCTGCCTGGCATAGCGGTTTGTTTCAAGCACGATCATTTCAAGTACATCATCATTGAAGTACAGGCTGAATGACTCGGATGGTGTACAAGATGAGGACAACTTGCTTGAATACTGCGGTTCCAGGCTACTCACAGAGCGATTGTTGAGAACCGGAAGAGCTGTATACCACAAAGCGGTTCCTTCCGAGGCAACATCTCTGCTGTCAGAGTTATCCGATTGGACTGGCTCAGGACTTCTCGGGCGTCTTTTCTTTTTTTGGGGGGGCTTCTTCCTGATGTACGATGATCGCCTCCTTTTTCCTGTGCTTGTGGATGGCTGATCAAGCGCGTTGTCATCTGAGTCACTTTCCTCGACCGGAGCCAGCGCGGGCACAACTTCATTCTCACTGTCTGCAAGTTCACTCTCGATGTCGCTTTCTCGAGGATCATCTGGAAGCCTGAACAGAAGCTCAACCGCTTCTTCAACTGATAGCGACCTCCCTGGAATGAAAAGAGAATGCAATAGCGCGCTAAAATTCCGACGTAAGTCAGAAGAAAATTAGGCCTAGGAAATTTCGCCAGCTCTGAGTTGCGTCACTCATGTTGCACAACTTTCCGGGTAGCCAGTACGACAATAAAATCAGAAAACATAACACAGTGATTCTATATAGAAACCCACACGAGAAATAAAACTTTCACACTTACTTGTCATTGTGTATTTAGTGCACGTCGACTCAAAATACCCGCGAAACTGAGCGCGGTAAACGAATTCGGAACGCTTCGAATGAAACGTTAGGGTTCCTCGATGCGCGCTCTCCCCTCCGCCGCCTTGGAGGGTGGAGTCATTCTGTGAGGGGGTGAATGCCGCCTTCCGATCGGCGGCCGCCATTCGGCTCCCCCCCCGCCTCGCTAGAATGTGCTAGCCCCGTCGCGTCTGGTTTGTGTGAGACAGGTGCGCGGCGTTTTATAGCGTTTTCTCGGGCAAAATGCCCGGGTGTTGCGTGCCACAGTGCACAAACCACTCGCGAAATGGCTATAGGATGTTCAGATTTCCGAAAGATCCGAAAAGGCGACTCCTGTGGCTGGTAAAGATCAAGCGCGACAAGTGGCAACCCACGGACCGTTCGTGTTTGTGCAGCGCAAGTTATGCCATTTCAGCATTTTTGATCGCGATCGAGCCTGATGTGATTGACTCCCTTATACGCGAGCTGCAGAAGGACTGTAGTCGATGAGGGTTGCAACGTGGGCTTGTTGGTTACTCATGTGAAAGGCTTTTGGTGCAGAAGGACGCCAATGACTGTTCAGAAATCTGACCCCAATCGGGCTTAATCGC